TCAGGTTGTGTGGGTAGGAGTAGATTGTAATAAGAAATAGAATCAGGGTAGGCCTCGGAGAGAAGTGAAATTTGAGCAAAGAATTGAAGGAAGTGATGGTGTTAGCCCTGTAGCTATCTGATGAATGGAAAACCATCCCAAAGACCTAAAGCAGAGGTTTGTGTGGCAAATTCCAAGAACTGCAAGGTCACTGTGGCTAGAGTTGGATAAGTGGAGAGGAGAGTATAGGAGAGAAGGTCCTAGAAACAATGGGGACGAGTTCAAATAGAGTTGTACTCTGAGTGACACCAGGAGCCATTGCAGTGTTTGGAGCAGAGGCATGAGAAGATCTGACTGATGGTTGAAAGTCTCACTCTGCCATCTGAGTTGAGAATAGTCTATGGATAGGTAAGGGAAAAATAAGACCATATACACAGGAACTCCACTGTATGTCCGGCGCATGGGATACAAGAAGTTTAATGAGTTAACATATAAATGAATGGGATATGGAGGTTAAAAGATAAGATGTGCAGAGATCCTCACAAGCATGAAGTAATGGGTGACACGTTTTCACATCTTTGGGAATCAGACACAGTACACTAAGGTCACAACTTATACTAATGTGTATGTGAGTGTGTTTATATCTACATACCTACATGTAAATATTTACTGCTTGTCTTCTGTGTGGAAAGCACTTTTAATTTTGACAAATGCCTTCACCTAATTTATGCTACATGTATAAATATATGCATAGGTAATGTTCACTAGTGCCAAGCTCCATATAATAAGGCTACTTCTGTTTCCTGAAAAGTAGCACATTCTAACGCTGCCTAGCTAAGGTCAATTTTTTTTTAAACTCTGAGCTTTATAGAAGAAATCTATTCTCACAAAAATAAAGATCATGGTTTTAATTCTCATTTAGGTATGTTAGTTTGAAAAGAGGAAAAAGTTCCTACAGCCACAGAGGCTTTCTCAACCTCAACAAACTTACCTGTAAAGACTTTGTTTAGGCATGAGGAAGGGCCAAAAGAGTGACCCTGGAAGGCCCTATACAAATCTGTCTGGGAGAGAAAGAGAACGGATAGCATGCAGGCAGCAGATTCATAGATGAAAGGCAGCATATGCTTATTTATTTTTTTATTTTTTTTTTCTTTTAAAGATTTTATTTTTCCTTTTTCTCCCCAAAGCCCCCCAGTACATAGTTGTATATTTTTAGTCGTGGGTCCTTCTAGTTGTGGCATGTGGGATGCCGCCTCAGCATGGCCTGACCGGCGGTGCCATGTCTGCGCCCAGGATTCAAACTGGTGAAACCCTGGGCCACCGAAGCGAAGCACACAAACTTAACTACTCAGCCCCGGGCTGGCCCCGGCAGCATATGTTTAAAATGTACTATTTTTAAACATGCCAATATAATTTCAAGATTATCAATTTCAAGGTTGGACAATTTTAAGGTCTGAAGAAATTGTCTCATTCTTCATTGTTCACAAATAATTGTTGAGCATGTACTATATGCCTGGTACTGACAGTACAAACTGAGCAGGACAATGGATGTGCCTGCAGAGTCGATTGCATGCATTCCCAACCCAGGTAATGTCACCCTCCAGGAGGGAAAATTTGCTCTTGGGCAACACAAAAAACACTTACACTTTTAATTATAAAATACAAAAAAATACAGTGCATAAACAGACACAGTATATCTGTGATATTAAAATTTAATGAGGAAGGGTGGTTAGGGGAAAAAATGTCTAAAAAGACTCCTTAGGAGAGGAAAAACAAATAAACAAAAAAGATTGAGAAACACTTGTCTATTGGAAAGTGCATAATTATAGTAAAATATGATAACTACAGTGACGGGGAAAGTACGGGATATTGCGGAAATACATACGAGGAACACCTAACTTAGTATGGAGGAAGAGGTCAGGGAAGGCTTCCTGGAGAAGTCGCATCTCAGCAGAGCTGTAAGGGATGACCACTAAGAATTGCTCAGACAAGAAGGTGGGGAGTGAGTTGTGTGCTAGAATCAAGGCAGAGGAAGAGCTTATGCACAAGACCTGGACAATCACTAACACAGACTTCTGTTGAGCAAAATCTATATAAACCCCTAAGTTATCTAGTTTGGTTAATTTGGCTAATAATTCGTGAAGTCAGATAGGCCAAAGAAAACACCGCAAACTGAAAGCTGAATGCATGTCACATTTGGGACCACCAGTCTGTGTTCTCTTACACAAGGGCCTTCCTTTCCATTGTCTGCCCTCATCACAGGGAGGCCCTCACCACCTCGTGCCAGAGAATTTCAACAGCCCCCTACTTCTTTCCCTCTAGTTACCCTACAGCAGCAGGACCACATAGTGATCACAGGAAGTAATGTGCTAAACTGAGCTGCCTGGAGGGCTCCCCTGATCTATCCTTCCTCTGCTCTCAAATCTTCACGTTGATCCAAACCAACTCCTTAGCCTGCGAGCTGAGAGTTTGTATAGTGAGGCTCTAAACCACTAATTCGAGAGAATTCCAGTATTCCTTTAAGTCAATACTTCCTAAAATTTTAGAATCAAGTAGAATCGAATGGAACAGATGTCCCCTCCAGCATCCACTCACAATGATTTAGAGTGCCTATGATGTGCCAGGCACTGTTCTGATCAATGGCAATGGGGCCAGAACAGGGTAGACAAGGCCCTTCACTCATGAAGCTTGCTTCTTCAAGGAGCAAAGGTAAACAGAAAAACAAACAAATGAATACATCTAATGATTTCAATCATCGTTAAGTGTTATGAAGTACATTTTAAAAGGGTAACAGGTTAAAGAACGACTTTCAATAACGTGATGTGGGAATAAGGATAAGGAGGTGATATTTGAGCTGAGACCTGAATGATAAGGATGCAGCTTTGTGACTCTCTGAAGGAAGAGGGCCTCAAGCAGAGTGAGCAGCAAATGCAGAGGCCATGAGACGGAAGCAAAAATGCACAGAGGAAAAGCTAAGAGTGGGTATCCACCTATATGGCTATATTGTTCTTAAATATAATTTCAGAATCAGTGGTTCAATAGACTCTGCCACCCCACACATGCCTTCCAGGAACCCCAGGATCTCCCCAAAACCAGCAAGTCAAGAGTTAACGTCTCTAGGATCCTGAACTTCTGCTCAAATGGCTACTTTCAGTTTGAATGACCAGAACCCATGTCATATCATTTGTTAAATACTTTTCATGTCATCTCTACACTAAAGCGTGGTGTACAGGAAATTGTCATACAAGTTCAAGGGTGAACCTGGATGTCCTAAAATCTATGCTGTATCCTAGACCAAGAATCCTAGCTTTATCTGCTGAAGAGTCAACAGCACACAGTGGTTGCATGTGTGGGAAGCAGATATTCTGGGTTTGAATGCTAGCTCTGCCGCTTACTTCTATGGGACTATGGGCAAGTGGCCTAAAATTTCTATGCCTCAGTTTCCTGTAAATTGGAAACAGTGATAATGCCTCATAGGATTTTTGTGAGGATTTAGTGATACAAAACATGTAAAGCACTTGAAAAACTTTTGGCATATTCAAAATTATTATAATAGTTATTATATAAATTATGAATTCCTGCTAAGCTATACTCACCATCCCCACTCAAATTCATTCCATTTCCTCATCCTAACATACTCTTTTCTTCATTTTCAATGGCCAGATTTCTACCAACCTACAAAGCTCAGATAAAATGGCACAACTACTATGAAACTTCTACTAATTTGAGCTTCCAGAAAAGCCATTCCCCTCCTCTGAACAACTATTAGTACACGGTTACACCATTAGCCTAATCATTTACTATCTTACAGGGTAGTTTTGTATACATGTTTTGCATAATCTGCTAGATTATAAATCATTTAAAGCAATGCTGCCCCATAGAAAGATAGTTTGAGACATGTAAGTAATTTAAAATATTCCAATTAGCCACATAAAAAAAATGTTTAAAGCACATGAGATTAATTTTAGTAATATATTTTCTTTAACCCCATAGCCAAACCATTATGATTTACTATGAAATCAGTGCAAACAAATTATTACCAGATATTTTATATTTTTTTGCACTGAGTCTTTGAAATCTGATGTGTATTTTACACTTACAGCACACCTCAATTTGGACTAGCCATATTTCAAGGGCTCCTTGGACGCGTGTGGATAGTGGCTACCATTTGAGACAACACAATTTTAGGGTATGTATTATCCTCTATGGCTCCATATTTATCATAACACCTAACATAGCACATTCCCTATTTCAGAAGTTCAATAACTATTTCTCAAATTAATTACTTAATTTACTAATTTGTTTAAAATCAGTACAAAGTCTAACCCCATGGAAACGTATTTCTGTTATTCATAACACAAAAAGTAAAAGCATGGAAAAATAGTTTTGGCTTTCTTTAAAACATATGGTTTATTCTTCCTCTGGAATGATAAAATGAATTTTTCCTTTATGTTTCTCATTAAGAATATAGCTGAGAAGTACTAAGTCCTGGTTCACTGAAAGAAATAGTATATATAGCAACAAAATTATTTATTTGACTTGTTCAGAGAAGAAATTCAATCCTACTTTCCTAATAAGAATATGAATTTTAGATAAGAGATAAACAAATGTGTAGGATTTGGTAAGTCCCAGTAAAAATATTTTGATGTCAATTTCCTGCTCGCCACATGAATTTTTCATAGAGTGTTGTGCTCTGAAATATATTCAGTGTTTTCATAAATAATTTCCCAATTACTCTGATGCAGTTACAGAAAATGAATGACATTATTTCCATAGTCACTAACAACATATTGTTGGGACCAGATCAACTTGAATTGCTCCTGTTAGAAAAATTGATATGAAAGAAAGTGGAAATCATGAATATTCTACCACTCTGAAATCGGATCTACTCACTCTTCCTTATCAACTTTATTCCTACCTTCTTTTTTAACCTTAAGTATCCATATGCCTGCAGTATTGATTTTGGTAGAGAAATATAAAGAATTAAAAAAACATGGTAATTGGAAAGTAAAATAACTCACCTTTGGCAATCTCAACGATAATTTGCAAATTGGCAGCTGATCATTGTTCTCACTGAGTGTAACAGACTGATCCAAGCTGGGGTCTGTCTTTTCCTTGGGTACTTTATAAACCTCAATCGTGCCCTTATAATGAGGGCAGCTATAGTTTCCAAATTCATCCACCTCTTTGATTTGGAGTTCCAACCTGGGTTTTCTTTGTAAATGAAAAATAAGCTTGTGGTCTTTTCCATAATCCTTCCCATTGCCTGCGTAGAAGTAAAATGCATTTGTTACTATTAAGATATACCACGTTGTCTTACTTAATTTTTTTTTTAAGATTTTATTTTTTTCCTTTTTCTCCCCAAAGCCCCCCAGTACATAGTTGTATATTCTTTGTTGTGGGTCCTTCTAGTTGTGGCATGTGGGACGCTGCCTCAGCGTGGTTTGATGAGCAGTGCCATGTCCGCGCCCAGGATTCGAACCAACAAAACACTGGGCCGCCTGCAGCAGAGTGCGCGAACTTAACCACTCGGCCACGGGGCCAGCCCCTGTCTTACTTAATTTTTTAAACTCCAAATAATTGCTTCATTTTTTAAATAAACTAAAGCTTTTTTGTTTTATTTCCTCTTGTTAAAACATAACCTGACAAAGCAGCAATGGGCTAAGACTGTGTAGATTACTACAAAGATTTCTCATCTGTAATTGGACCAGGTTTCTCTGGCTGTTTCTAGATCTAATAATCTTTGATGTTCTTTTTCTATTGCATTTTTCTCTAACAAGAAACCATTGAAAATATTCAGCTCTTTCTGTATTTAGAAAATTATTTTCACCTTTCAATAATTATCTTTTTCCTTTCCCCTAACTGTTCATATCATATTGCACACTATCATGACCTCACGATGGACATTCTAGAACTGCACTTTCCTATATGGTACCCACTCACAACATGTGGCTTTTTAAATTAAAGTTAAAATTAATTAAAATTAAATTAAATTAAATCAATTCCTCAGTCACTGTAGCCACGTTTCAAATGTTCAATAGCCGCATATGTCTAGTGGCTACTTTATTTGACAGTGCAGGTATAAAATATTTCCACCATCACAGAAATAGTGCTGTTCTAGAACTTCCAAATGGAACAGTTACTAGATTCATTTTACTGAATCTTCTATGAAAAACCTGACGAATTTCCCCCAAACAATGATAAGTTTTCTCAATTGCTCACTGAAAATACTGGAGCTTTAGTGACCATAACCTTTTCTCATAGGGGTTTTACCATGACAATCAGGATATTTTTACCTTGTCACTGCAATAGTAAAACAGACGCTGCCTGTTTCCTAAAGCATGTCTGCATTACCCTCTGCATTATCAGCAAACTTTAAAAGTAAGCTATAATGTAGCAGTTAGGATATGTTTCCGACATACATATCTAGAGCCAAGTCCAGCCTCTACTATTCATCTAAAACTGCCGTACTTATCCGGTTCTTTCCCATCTCTGAGCTTCCTGGAGACTTACCTTCCTTGTCTTTAAAAAAGGAGAGATAAAACTTACCTCCTAGGATTGCTCTGGGAATGAAATGAGATAATATGGATAAAATGATTGGTGCAGGGCCTGGCACAAAATAAGTGGTCAATAAATGATAGTAAATGATAAGAGAGAAGCAGAATTCTTCCACTCTTTTGAATCTGTATAGCAAAAAGCAACCCACTTACACTTGTTAAAGAAATGTCAGGGAGAAGCTTTTATATCTAAGAAGCAACTTCTACTCCTAGGAGTCTGCAAGTTGACTACCCAGAGCTCTCTCTCATGGAACACCTTCCCATTGTGTAGAGTGAAATAAGAGTTCAGTGAGAGATGTAGATGACACCAACACTTTCTCCCTGTTGTGACTGCTAGAGGTCATTTTGGTGAATATCTAAAGCATAGCTAAATCTAGAATTAGAATAATTCTAGATAACGGAAGGTATAGGAGTACGTCTCTCTGAATACATCCATATTTGGGAGGAAAGCTGCCTCTTGAACAAAACAGACTTAAAGGACAGGAATGACTAGCTCGGGTTTGCCCCCTTTTTTTTGAGGAAGATTAGTCCTGAGCTAACTACTGCCAATCCTCCTCTTTTTGCTGAGGAAGACTAGCCCTGAGCTAACATCCATGCCCATCTTCCTCTACTTTATACATGGGATGCCTACCACAGCATGGCTTTTGCCAAGCTGTGCCATGTCCACACCCAGGATCCCAACTGGCGAACCCCGGGCCGTCGGGAAGCGGAATGTGCGAACCGCTGTGCCACCAGGCCAGCCCCGGGATTTGCCTTCTTAAAAGAGTTTCACTCTGGTAAAAAAAAAAAGATAAATTATTTGGAGTCATTGAAATGTCATCTGGTAAACAGTAAATGAGTTTCCAGATTACTGGAGTAACGCTTGGCAAACTTCTACTTTCATACCACCAGAGTACCATCAAGGAAATGTCGCTACTTTGGTCCTAATAGAATACAACTTAGTAAATTTCTGCTTCCATCCTTTGAAAGACTTTATACTCCCTTCCAGGTATACAATTACTCATAAGGAATAATTTGTATACAGAATATAAGAATTAAGGGTGAGGCATAGCTACATTGATTCAATTTAGATCTAAAACTTATCTACCTCTTCTTTCTGGTTAATTTTTAAAAATAAAGATATGTAATGCAAGTCTCTAACAGTCACATTTATATATGAAATTATTGAGGATTCACCAGTAATAATTAGCATGATCATAGTGTTATAAACAGAAAGCATTATGTAGAGTTTTTTTAAGTTGGAATTTCATTGTTGCCAAAATATAACACTATATTTTGAAGACCCTTTGCATAGAAAACAACAGAACCAAAAAAGGACAAGTATCACAAAGAAATTACACTATTCTATTTTTTTCTCCCGTACTGGCGTATTAAAGGAGAAGTAAAAGCGAAAGCCATTTGTTGCATACTAAAATTATAAGATCAATCATTAGTTGACATTTTGAGAACCTCTTTCTCCTCAAAATGCTTTGTATGTGCTTCCTAGTAGGACCTTGGGATAGTAGCTATTCAATAAATATTTGCCATATAAGGAATACAGAATTTATTTATATTTTGTGAGTTACTAGATAATCCTTATAGCAATATATTTTCTTCTCAATAATGGATATTGGAATATTTTTCATTGACAGCATAGAAAGTACAAACGTAGAAATATATGCTTCTGCTTGGAAAAGTCAGACGAGGAGATGAAAGGCCAGCAATATGGGAAACGAAGAATCCGATACGAACCACTGGCTCAGAGCATTTCTGTGTTCTAACACATCTCCATCACCTCTACCCGGATGCGGCCATCATCCCTTGCTGGGTTTATTGCAATGGCTCATTAACTGGTCTCCCTGAGTCTTCCCTTGCCTCTGAGTCAGATTACAACTGCGTAATAATCACTTAGAATAAAAGGCAAAGTCCTTGCAATGGCCCTCAAGAAAGTGATCAGTATTCACCTAATCTCCTACAACTCTTCCCTCACTCCCTCTCATCCAGTCGTCCCAGCCTGCTTGCTGCCTCAGTTCATTTGCATCTGTAATCCCTCTGCCTGGGACAAACTCTCCTGAGATAGGATTAAGGCTTGTGCTCTCACCAGTCTTCAAATCTCTGTTTAAATGCCACCTTCTCAAAAAGGTCTTCCCTAATGAGTCAATTTAAAACTGCAACTCTGTCACTCCCTCTGAGACTCTCTACATCCTTTCCCTGCTTCATTCTTCTCTAGGTCACTCTTACGCCCATTTTTTTATTCCTTCGCTTCTTCTCTGTCTCTCCCCACTAGAATACAATATGCATAAGGGTAAGGAAATTTTTTTGAACGAATAAAAGGCTGGCCATTCTAATATCCTAAACATCTATCTGGGAAAAATCACTTCCCTGGGGCCAGGGGCACTGAGGTCAACTTTGCCACACACTGACCTCCATAGGGCTTTACTAGATGCTTGAGTAATGCCAAGATGTCATTACACAAAATTTTGTAAAAGCATTTCAAGAACTTTCTGGATTTTGTGTTCACTGGGAGCTTAGATGTTATGCAATAGAAAGCTTAAGTGCTGAATTAACATCTCTAACCTAGAAAATGAAAGCATCCTGTAGCTTGTGTCCAGAAGAATGCCAAAAGCCAATATAAAAACCAAGAGGAGGGGCCAGCCCGGTGGCACATCAGTTAAGTTGGCACCTTCCGATCCCTGGTGGCCCAGGGTTCCCCGGCCTGGATCCCGGGTGCAGACATGGCACCGCTTGGCAAAAGCCATGCTGTGGTAGACAAGCCACATATAAAGTAGAGGAACATGGGCATGGACGTTAGCTTAGGGCCAGTCTTCCTCAGCCAAAAAAAAAGAGGAGGATTGGCAGTAGTTAGGTCAGGGGTAATCTTCCTCAAAAATAAATAAATAAAATAAAAACCAAGGGGAGCACCTATCTATCTTATTTTCTCTTAATAGAAATGAAGTCCATGTCCCATGACCTCATGAAAGAATCATCTCTATTCTATATAAATGGACACAGAGATGTTGATATTTCTCAAAGAGCAGTCATCTAAATTCATTAATTAAAGTTTTAAATACTTTTATTCACGCATTACTGTTGTGTTAGGTCCTTTCCCAAGCTTTGTCTTCATTCTTCCAACAAATACTCAGTGAACTCCTTCTAGCTCTCAGGTACCATCCTTGGTGCTGGGGATTGAATAGTGCCCACCAACAGGACGGGCCCACACTTCGTGGGACTATAGTCAGAGAAACTGGCATTGACGAAAACAATTGAATGAATAAATAAAAGACTGCATCTATGGCAAAGTCTACAAAAGAGAAGCACATAAGTTTCTGAAGAATTAAAATAAGGATTGACTTAATCAGGACAGAGAGGGAAGGCTTCTCTGAACAGGATCTTCATGGTGAGATCTGAAGATAAAGCAGGAGCTAACTGGAGGTGGGGGTGGGGCCTGGGGGGGGAAGAACCCTCCAGGCAGACAACCTCTGACTGCATGTCTTTGAGATTCACAGAGCCTACCCTGATGGACGGATGAGGTATTAATTCTTTACTGAGGGTCTGGCTCCTCTGAGATGAAGAAGAATCCAGTGAGGCTCCAGATCTGAGGGTAGGTCTCTAGTAAAGGCAAAGCAGAAATGATCCTGGTATCCCACCTGGCTTATTTTCCTTGAGTGAAGATGAGTTCTTCCCCATTCCTTATGTGGAGGAACTACACACACGTTGGCCATCTTCAGGCACTCTCAGTTTACCGTACGCTCCCCACCCCCCATTACAGGCACGTGTACACTTAGTACTACTGCCTATGAGAAGAGCAGTAACTCACTGTTGTTTAGGGCAGTAGGTAAACACAGCTGCTGTCCCAAGTAGTACAAATCATTTGCATCATTGGTTTTGGTGGGACACTTCCGGTTTTTGACTCTCTCTTCTTAGAGGGATTGTCCTAGTGTAGACATTGTAGTGTCTGCTTCAAAAGCCAAGTAGGAAGTGATCTTTCCCACCCTTCCTTCCTCTCCCTCCTCGTCCTTCCCTTCCCCTTTTTCTAACATCCTTGTCACTCACTCACTAAGTCCTGTCAGCTGATTCAGATGGCCGAGACTCTGCATGTGAAAGTGGAGAGATGCTTCAAATTAGGGCACTTTGGGTCTTACTTATTTCGGAGATACCAGAAAAACGGCAGAGTTAGCTTCAAGCTGCATCATTTTTGAAGCAACAGAGAACCAATGAAGCTTGGAATAATTTCCAGAATCAGAGAGAAAATAGGTATCTCTAAAAATCAATGGGATTTATATTAATTTATAAGTGAACAGAAACTATTAACTCAAGTCAAGTCTACAGCAAGACTCCTGGAGCAGAAATCCCCATAAACATCCATGAATTCTTTCCCATACTTCATCGCTACATGTTCCTGTTAGATCCTATTTCACCTCAAGGAAAGGAAGTAGGGAGGGGAAGGGGCTGAATTAATGAAAAAGAAACTGCTGTGATGGCAACTCCCCCAAAGATCGTTTTCTCTTTTCTCTCATACAGCTGTTTTCTCTCTGTGCTCTCCTTTTTCTTCATTTTCTCTTTCTCTTCATCTCCTGTTCTCTCTTTGTCTCATCCATTCCCTCTCGTCTCCCACCTCTCCTGCCACCTCTCATATTCATTCACCCTGTTTGTTTTCCTCAGCATTACCATATAGTCTTTCATTCACTACATATTTATTGAAAGTCTTTGATGTATCAGGCTCTATGCTAGGCTCAGGGGTAAACAGTGAGAAAGACAGTCATTGCCCTCATGAAATTTACACCCCAGTGAAGAACATAACATAAGTATACGAAAGAAAAGTAAGCAGATAAATAAGTTAAACAATTTCAAACTGTGGTAAGATTTAGAATGGAAACAAAAAAGCACTGGATAAATATGAGGATGAGAGGTAAGCATGGGTGTGTCACCTAGATCAGAGGCTCTTAATTCCTTTTTTGACTTGGACCCTTTTGGAGTTTGGTGAAATCTAACGTTTCCTTCTCAGAGTAGTCTTTTAAATATATAAAATAAAATAAATGGAAATATAAATATGGTAATTCTACTGGAATATAGTTCTATCCAGACAACTCTTGGGACCCCACTTGGGGTCCACTGACCCGAGGTTAGATTTTTTTGAAGGACATCATAAAGAGTTCGGACGTTGTTTTAAGTAGAATAGGAGGCATTAAGGTTTTAATCAGGGGCGTAATAATGTGTGATTTATGTTTTTAAAAGATCACAATTGTTACTGTATGGAAATAGGTTTCGTGTGGCCGATAGTGGAAGCACAGGAGTTTTGAGGAGGAAGCTGCATTGGTGTAGGAGAGAGATGATCCCAGCTTGGACTCAGATAGTAATCGTGGAAAAGACTATTTTGAAAACAGTGTCCCTTAGAGTCTGTCCATAAAGGAACATGCATGCCCTAAAAAGACAAGAAAGACTGGAATGAAGTCAATAAGTCTTTTTCTCTTCCTCCTTTTCAAAAGCTTCCCCTCAGTCCTCTGAAGTTTTCCTTAGCAGGACAAGTTCAGGGAACTCCTTCTGAAGTTTGTGGCTGAGAGCCCATAGAATACACAAAAAGATTTCTTTATACTTACTTGAAGCAAATATGTTTCCAGTAAACCTTAAAAGAAGTTGTTCTCCTTCTTTTACTTGGAAATGGCGAGAGGGCTCTGGAGGACTGCCGAATGCTTCCAAACGCAAGTTCCTGAGCACCTGGTTTAAATCTTTAGACGGCACCACTAAAATAACAACTCTGTGTGGATTGTCTTTCTGATGATACAGTACAATGCAGGCGGTGGTGCTGAGCATGGCTTCCTCTAAAGATTTCACAAAAGAAACCAAATGGCTATTGTCCACAATGGAAGACAGGTGAAGCACAATGAATCTGCATGGGAGAAAGGAGGCATGACCTAAGGGGAACATACAGTCTCAAAAATGTAACTGGTAACTAATGACACCCAAGAAAAGAGCCATGATCATCTAAACTTCCTTTAAAAGCAAGCATTCTGATGACTAACTGGTGAGGTTCATGAATGACTTTAATGAAACTCTTGGCAGTCAGAAACCAGGCTAAATCAAACCAAGTTCTAATACAGATGCTTGTAGACAAAGAAACCATCCAGTCTCAGCTCCACTCTAAATGTTTTAACTTATAGTTTAACCAGCATTACCAAAGAGTATTACTTTAAAACATAGAAGAGAAAGAGAATCCATTTACTATCAATAGGTTGGAGAATATACGCCATAATAAAAGGAAGATTGAATCATTCATCTCTGTCACTGAATGGTAAGGATTGTTATGATGGACCCTGCTTTGGGTTGAATTGTGTGTCCCCTCTACCCAAATTCATATGTTGATTTAGGCTAGGAGGCCTAACCCCTAGTACCTTAGAATGTGACCTTGTTTGGAGATAGGGTCTTTACAGAGGTAATCAAGTTAATGTGAGGTCATCAGAGTACACTCTAATCTGATATGAGTAGTCTCACGAAAGGGGGAAATTTGGACACAGGAATGTGCATACAGAGAAAAGCCTGTGTGAACGTGAAGATAGCCACCTGCAAGCCAAGAAGAGAGGCCTGGAACAGATCCTTCCCTCACAGTCCTCAGAAGGAATGAACATTGCTAGCACCTTGATTTTGGATTTCTAGTCTCCAGAACTGTGAGACAATAAATTTCTGCTTAAAGCCACCTAGTTTGTGGTAGTTTACTATGGCAGCCTAGTAAGCTAATACAGATACCTCTCCCTGGGATGGAACAGCCATTGCCCAACTCTTGTCCAGAGAATTGCCCTACAGGAACCCCTTCACCAGGAGCATCTCTGCACCCAAGGACAAGGACTGACTGATGCAGCGATGTCAGCCAGCCTCCTTGGGACTCACACTCCAGGGTTCTCCTGAGGTATTGGGCTGAGATAAAACTTCTGCTGAAACCATAGGTTTTCCATCCTCTTCCCTTGCCCTCCCTGCTTCTTTCACTCCCTCACAGGATTCACCTGAGAGCCCTCCCTCAATAAATCACTTGCATTCTCACCTGGGACTCTATTTCTGACCCAAGCCAACTGTAGATGTAAGATCTTCCATTTTGAATTAAAGGCTATCTTTGGACATATGATTGCCCTCTCTTTATGAGTGTCTACTCCTCATGAACCTTAAAATTGTCTAAAACTCTTCTCATAATGAGCTGTCTAGAAAACATGGAAATGAGAAGGCAAAATGAGGACACTGAAATAACAAATTCAGTTTATATATACATAGTTATGAGATGAGCATAATATGAAGAGTTAATTACCATCTCCATGGAATTTCAAAAATGAAGGTGCTATGTTAAAACTATTTTGCAGTTAGAAGAAACCTGTAAAAATAAATCTAAGTTATGAGTGGTTTCCAAAAGCACTTATTAAACTATCATGAGTGAAATTATAGATGGCATATTCATGCCAATTCTGGTTTACATTTTAGGCACACCCTAAAGAACTGTTCATATGTCTATTTGAGGAATAAAAATCTAATCCTGTGATTCCACTTCTGCAAACATCGATTACAGATAGACTATCATCTTTTATTGTTTACCGTTGTATTACCTCTCTAAATGTTCACACAGTTCAAATGATATCAAGCCACTCTGCATCGTTCTCACCACAACATCATCAAGCACAAACCAACCGGTGTCTTGGCTTCTGATTCCCAGTAATTTCAAACATTCACAGGTATTGTTCCCAGGTTTTCTTATAGAGGCACTTTTTGTCCTGTATAACGGTAGCAAAAGAGAAATTGGTAAAATTTGTATAGTATAAATCATATTTAATGCATTCATACTTTCATCAAGTGAATAATCCAGCAACAATTTACTAAGTATATACCATATGCCAATAATCACACTCTGCACTAGGAATGCAAAGATAAGAAATATATTGCCACTGCTCTCCAGAAGCTCACAGTATTACAGCATTATCCAATTCAGGACAAGGTATCTGTGTAGTAATTAAGGGAAGGTACAGAGTGGTTTAGCAGCAGAAGGAAGGTGCTCAGGGAAGCCTGCAAAGTGAGAATGCTGATATTTGAGATGAACTTTGGAGAATGAGAAGCATTTTACTACTGGCAAAAGAGTTAAGAGAAGCCCCTGAAACATTAATAAACTTGCTCATTTAAACCCAGATGCTTAGGATAGCCAGGAGTAGTGGTGTATTGGTATAGCATAATAGATGAGACCACAGACTCTGGAACAAGACTGCTTTCAAATCCTGGGTAGCTCTGCCTCTTGTTAGCTGTATGACCATGGGCAAGTTTTTTGACCTCTCTGGATCTCAGTTTTCTTATCTATAATATGAGGATAATGATAGTATCTGCGTCATGGGATTAAATTAATTAATATTTGTAAAGCACTTATAATTGTAGTAAGCATAAATGATATTAATATTCTCATCCTAATTCCTACAGCTGACAGAGCCAATTAGCCTTCTTGTATAATTCTCCTTCTGGCTTAACTTGCCCCACCCAGAAGCCCTGAAAGAGGCTGTTGTATGTACCATGTGATACTTTCCCCCAACCAGAGCTGATTTGATTAACAGTAGACTAATTTCCAACACTCAGCCAATTTGATTCTTTTCCTTTGGAACTTGGCTAAGTAAGAGGACCAGAGATTGTAACCTCTCATTGTCCTTTGGCTGCAGTGCCCTGAGCTATAAAAATGAATAGGGAGAGAAATTATTAAGAAAGGAAATAGAGCAGATGCTAAGAGAGAAAAGGAGAAAATCAAAGTGAAATAATCAGTGTAGTCCCAGAGATGGAGAAAGCAGAAATTACCTATTGTCGCCTTACAATAAACTCCTCTTCTTGAATTCACTTAAATGGATATCTGTTCCTCACAATTAAAGGAAGAAAAGTCCTTGATACTGAACATCTTGCAGAAAAATAAAATCTGGTCCAGTGATGCTACAACCCACAAGGGGACAGAACCATCCTAGCTAGGTACTAAGAAGGAAGATCCAAGTGTGAATCCCACATGCTTGTTTGTGAATAGAATTAGTTATGGGTTTAAAACTATCTTAGTTTCACAGGTTGAGTTTTGCTATGACCCATACATTAAGAACTGAACTAGATTTAAAATGTCTACTCTGAAAACTTCAAACTATGTTGATTCCTTCAGAGGATCAATCAGATTAAAATCAGGAGGACATGGGAAAAATAACATTTAGTTTTTGGCTTTTGGTTTATAACCACAAATATGGTAAATTTTGTAACCCTTGGAAGTTAACAATTTAACACAAGGAGATGCACTCATACTGAATCCAAAACTTTGGCCATTTACTAGAAACTGACTTAATTAAATGCAATATTGATTTTTTTTTCTGATGGAAATGTTTACTTTTTTTTTTCCCAACAGCCTCACTTTTCGATGGGGACTTACAGGTTCCCGACTGCAGTGGGCTAACCCTACTCCCAGGGACAGGTGGGCATATGACCTGAGCAAAATAGTGCATTTGGCATTCATTAATGCTATTTGCCAAAATATCCAATTTCCCACAACCTGAGCACATGATAGGATTGCACTTCCTTGTCCCTGATGGTTGAGTGGGGCCATGTGACTAGTTCTGGCTAATGAATAATGAATGAAGGAAATAAGTCACTGCGAAGCTGAGCATTTAATTGTTAATGTGGGTCTATCCGAATTTCTTTCTTCTGCCACCATGACAGCAACCAGACAGTGGTTGCCCTTTAGTGTAAATCCCGGAGTGAGGATGACCAAGATCCTTTGATGGCAGGCCGCATAGCGTGTGCGAGATATAAAGACAGTTGTTATAAGACCTTGAGATTTCGGGCTTTTGTTATTATGCCATGACCTAGGCTAACCTGCCCTGTAGAGTACATCTTCCTTTTGGTCCCAGAGAGACTGGGTTCTTTCTGGTTCAAGAAAAATATAAAGATAAAAGATAAAAGATATCCACAGACTTTTTATTTACACTATTTATTTATGGACCAAATGATCTCTTTTTTCTTAAAAACGTTGGGTTTGCTTTTCTGTCACTTAAAATCAAGAGTTCTTAATGATATGAAGATCAAATTTAGACTGCATTTTTTCCAGCTTTATTGAGATATAATTGACATACAACATTATGTAAGTTTAAGGTGTACAATGGGATGATTTGATGCTAAATCATTACCACAATAAAGTTGGTTAACACACCCACCACCTCAAATTTAGATTTTAGTGTGATAATAGGTACAATTCATATTGAAATTAAATGATTTGGTGGCATCCTTATTTATCCCAGCTGTTCTTAACTACTCTGCAAATAAACTCTTCCCTTTATAAATGCTATTAGCAAATTTTGACAACTAGCATCGCCTAGCGGTGAATAGCACGTGATCATATGCCACAAAAGACAACATTCTAATATACTAGGAGTTCCATAAAATATAATCAACCTTTATTAAATCAATTTGTTTTTTCAAGAATAACTAACCTTGCTATTTCTTGAGTCCAAGCTTCTTCCCATATCCACAATTCCAGGCATTAAGGTAATTATAATTGGCCTATTTTGGGTCAAGTGTTCAATTATAAGGAACAGTAACATTGAAGAACATGAAAACTCCCAGTAGATCCACATAGAAAGGACAATTTCCAGAATTTGTGGTATAATTCCCAAAAATAAAGTGGCTGGGTAAACAAAGTAACAGGTGTCTTCTCCAGGCTGCCTTTCTCAGGTGTGAGAGTGCCCTGACACATCTTTCCCATATAAATGCTTTAATGTCACACAATAAAAGACACTCAGAAGATTTTTCCCAAGGTAATAAAGATATGCTCAAAGGCCCCTCAACATTTTGTCTCTACAAGTAGAAACAGACAATACTGAGAAACTTCCAAGGATAGATTCTTTTTCTTTTCTTTAGACTTTATATTTTTAGACCAATTTTAAGAGGTTCACAGCAAAATTGAGAGGAAAGTACAGGACTTCCCACATATCTCTTGCCCCCATACATGTAAACCTTCCCCCATTATCAACATCTGCCACCAGAGTGGTACATTTGCTACAACTGGGGAATCAAAGTCCACAGTTTACATTACGGTTCATTCTTTGTATTGTATGTTCTATGAGTTTGAACAAATGTATAATGACATGTATCCATCATTATAGTAGCATACAGAGTATTTTCGCCATCCTAAAAGTCCTCTGTACTCTGCCTATTCATCCTTCTCCTACTCCAACCCCTGAGCTTTTTACTGTCTCCATAGTTTTGCCTTTTCCAGACGTTGTCTACAGTACCTATCATACAGTATGTATCATACAGTATGTAGCCTTTTCAGACTGGCTTCTTTAGCTTAGCAATATGTATTTAAGATTTGTCCATGTCTTTCTGTAGCTTGATAGCACATTTCTTTTTGGTGCTGAATAATATTCTGTTGTTATAGACATTGTTTATCCCATTCACTTACTGAAGGACATCATAGTTGCTTCCAAATTTTGACAATTATGAATAAATCTGCTATAACATCCTTGTGCAGGTTTTTGTGTGGACATAAGTTTGCAACCCCTTTGGGTAAATAACAAGGAATGCTGATCCTGGATCATATGGTAAGAGTGTGTTTAGTTTTGTAAGAAATCAACAAACTGTCTTCCAAAGTGGCTGTATCAGTTTGCATTCCCACCAGCAACGAATGAGAATTCCTGCTGCTCCACATCCTTACCAGCATTTGAGGTTTTCAGTGTTCTGGAATTTAGCCATTTTAATAGGTATGTAGTGGTATCTCATTGTTTTTAAAATTTGCATCTCACTGATGACATATATATACAATATGGAGCATCTTTCCATATGCTTATTTGCCAAATGTATATCTTCTTCTGTGAGATGTCTTTGGCCCATTTTTTAACTGAGTTTTTTGGTTTTTTATGGTTGAGTTTTAAAAGTTTTTTGTATGTCTTGCCTAACAGTCCTTTAACAGATGTGTCTTTTGCAAATACTTTCTCCCAGTCTGCGGCTCATCTTCTCATTCTCCTGACATTCTTTCCCAGAGCAGAAATTTTTAATTTTATGAAGTCCAGCATATCAATTATTTCTTTCATGGACTGTACCTTTGGTGTTGTATCTAAAAAGTCATTGCCACACCCAAGACCATCTAGATTTTCACCTACGTTATTTTCTAGGAGTTTTATAGTCGTGCATTTTATATTTATGTCTAGAAACCATTTGAGTTAACTTTTGTGAAGGGCATAATGTCTGTATCTAGATTTATTTTTTTGAATGTGGATGTTCACTTGTTCCAGCACCTTTTGTTGAAAAGACTCTCTTTTCTCCGTTGTATTGCCTGTTCTTTTTTGTCAAAGATCAGTTGATTGTATTATGTGGGTCTATTTCTGTGTTCTCTATTCTGTTCCACTGATCTATTTTCTATTCTTTTGCCAATACCACATGTCTTGATTATTGTCGCTTTGTGGTAAGTCTTGAAGTCAGGTGGTGTCAGTCATCCAACTTTGTTCTTCTCCTTTAATGTTATATCGGCTATTCTGGGTGATAGTTTCTTTTTGATATGAAAAATAAAATTGAGCTCTACCTTATCTGGCTTTCCAATCCACTGGTAACATTACATGCTTTTAAGTACAATGGTATATAATAAATTGAAAATATTTCCAGTATACTACCTCCAAGTTTAATAAATGTGAAAAATCATATTTGCTCAGTAAGTATTTGCTTCAAAATTTTGCTGAAACCATTTTACTCTGTTAAATGAAGTCAACCTGTGTTGACA